CTTGTTTCCATGATGTTTGTGATGGTTAACTCACTTCAAATTCTGCTGCAAGTTTTGCTACTTTCTGCTCCGCTAATCTTTGTTCTCCTATTGACTGTGATTTCTCTACAAGTTGTAATAAAGTTGCAAGTTCTGATAACTGTAATTCTTCCAAAAATTTGAATAAAGTTGCAAGTTTAGATTTGTTGTGGCATGCAAGACTAGGCCATTCACATGTTAAAACCTTACATATTGTTTAAGACAAGCTGAATCTAAAATGTTCTTTGTCTAGCAATAAAAATTTCTTCTATGAAGCATGTCAGTATGGAAAACTCCAGAAATGACATTTTCTTGTTTCCACTTCTAGGGCAATAGTTCCTTTAGAACTAGTGTATTCTGATCTTTGGGGTCTAGCTCTAGTCAATTCTAGAGAAGGTTTTAGATACTATATCATCTTTGAAGATGATTTTAGTAGATTCACCTGGATTTATCCCTTGAAGCTTAAATCAGAAGCTTGTGACACATTTGTACAATTTCACTGTTTTGTAAAAAAAAAAACAGCTAGGATACAAGTTAAAATGCCTACAAATCAATTGGGTTGGTGAGTATAGAAGCTTTAATTACAGGTTATCTTCAGAAGAATGGGATTATGTTTAGGCATTCTTGTCCCCATTTGCATCAACAAAATGGGAGAGTAGAAAGGAAGCATAGGTCCATTATTGAGTTTGGATTGTCTCTTTTGGCTCATGTTGGTATGCCTATGAAATACTGGTGGGCAGCTTTCAGTACAACCACTTATTTGCTAAATAGGTTACCTACTTCAGTTCTTGATTTTGTATCCCCTTATTTTACTTTGTTTCACCAAGAACTTGACTAAACAGAGCTTAGAGTTTTTGGCTGTAGCTGCTACCCTTACTTAAGACCTTACAACAAACAAAAACGCTCCTATCACACTGAAAAATGTGCATTCCTGGGTTATAGTCTCTCTCACAAGGGCTACATTTGTCTTTCCTCCACTGGCAGAATTTACATTGTTAGGCAGGTTAAGTTTAATGAGACAGAGTTCCCATTTAAAACTGATTTTGCTGCTATTACATCAACTATTCTTCCTACTAGGAATGATCACTCTACAAGTATACCTACTGGTCATTGGGTCTTACCACAAATAGGTGGTCATTCCTCTACTTTACCAAGTTCTTCTGCTCTTGTTCAAGCTTCTTTAGGACATAATGTTTCACAAGAGTCAGGGCCAACTAGCTCTACTGGTTTTGGTTTTGTTTCAGCCCCTTCAAGACATACTGTTTCACAAAAGTCAATGCCAACTGGTTCTACTAGTTCTGGTTCTATTTCAAAATCTTCAAGCCCTATCGTTCCATAAGAGAGTTCACTACTCTCTTCTGCTTTTACTTCAAATTCTCCAAGGCCTACTGTTTCATCAGGTATATTACATAATGATGTTGCCCAACCACACTTGACAGATTCTCCTAGGTTATCAGAAGGTGCTCAGATTGATTCTAGTCTACCTTCTCCTTCTGATGCACATCTTCAAGTCTCATCTTCTCAGAATTCAGACTTCCTTAGTACTCAATTAGAAGCTACTTCAACTCTCAATACCCATCCAATGCTTATTAGGTCTAAAATAGGTCATTATAAGCCAAAGTCCATTTATGTTGCTTATCAAGCTGAAGTGACTAGCAATGTGATTCTTCTAGAACCTAAATCTTTCACTGAGGCTTTACTTAGTCCATAATAGAAATAGGCTATGGACTCAAAGTATCAAGCTTTATTAAAGAATAACACTTGGGAGCTTGTTCCGTATGAAACAGGTATGAAGGTGGTAGGTTGTAAATGGGTTTTGAAAACTAAGTTGAATTCATATGGAATTCTTCAAAAGTACAAAGCTCGTTTGGTAGCCAACGGCTTCCAGTAGACACCTGGTGTGGATTATTTTGACACATTTTCACCTGTAGTCAAGATAGCAACAATCAGGGTTATATTGTCCTTGGCAGTTCATCAAGGTTGGACCATTCAGCAGTTAGATGTCAATAACGCATTCCTGAATGGAGAATTGATAGAGACAGTGTTTATGTTAGCCCTTGAAGGTTATTTTGGTTGTGCAACAAACAAAGCAAGTCCTCAGCAAGTTTATAGGTTGCATAAAGCATTGTATGGACTCAAACAAGCTCCTAGAGCTTGGTTTGATAAACTTAAGGTTTCCTTGCTTGATTGGGGTCTTACAAATTCCATTTCGGATGTGAGCTTGTTTTTCTATAAGAAGGACTCCACACTCATGTATCTACTAGTGTATGTAGATGATATTCTTGTGACAGGGAATAATGATCAACTTATATCTCAATTGGTTGTTGATCTGGATAATAAGTTTGCTCTTAAAGCCTTTGGGGAAGTCAAATACTTCCTTGGTTTTGAAGTTAAACGAAGTTCTTCTGGTCTCCTTCTTACACAGACCAAATATGCGCAAGATCTTCTTATCAAAGCAAATATGGCAGAATCCAAACCTAGTTCTACCCCTATGGCCACTGGTCTCAAGCTTGAGAAAGAAGGGAGTAAACTATTTGATCAACTGACTCTTTATAGAAGCATTATTGATGGCCTACAGTATTTGACTTTGTCTAGACCAGACTTGGCTTTTGCTGTGAATAAGCTTAGTCAATTCCTACAGCAACCTATTGAAGTACACTAGACTGCTTGCAAAACGACATTGAGATATGTTAAAGGTACTCTACAGTATGGTATTCTATTTACTAAGAAGCAGCCCTTTATATTAGAAGCTTTTGCATATGCTGATTGGGCTGGAGATGAAACAGATAGGAGATCTACTAGTGGTTGCAATGTGTTCATTGGAGGAAATCTGGTCTAGTGGTCTTCTAGAAAGCAAAAAGTGGTGTCCTTGTCCTCCACAGAAGCTAAGTATAGGGCACTTAGTCAAGTTGCCATAGAGCTGGTATGGATTCAAAATTTATTTGCAGAATTGGGCATTCACATAAGTAACACACCCATCATTTGGTGTGATAACATGAGTGCTGGAGCCTTATCTTCTAATCTAGTATTTCATGCTAGGACAAAACACATCGCGATTGATGTCAACTTTGTTAGAGAGTTAGTTACAAGGAAGTTGTTACATGTGCAGTATATTGCTTCTGACTATCAGATTGCAGATGCCCTGACTAAGGCCCTCCCTTGTTCCAGATTTTTCATGTTAAGGGAGAAGCTAAATGTTACATCAGAACTTCCTCCTGGTGAGAGCATGTCTGAAGATTAAATTGAAAGTTTTACTATTAAAGTTGCAGGTTTTACTGTTTCAAGTTTATAGGATTCTGCTGCTCAGCAGAACACTGAGCTGGAGTAATAGAGCTGAGTAATAGTTTGGTAGTTGGAGTACTGAGGAGTTGTGAGCAGTTGTGTAGCTTCTTGTGTTGTACTGAAGTATGATAGAATGGTCTACTGGTGCATTACTGCTGGTAAATGCAGTTTTTTTTGGCAATCTGATACTTTGATGTATGTTTATATGAATTTGGTATCTGCTGATGTGGTTTGATATGGTCTGCTGCTGATAAATACATTTTTGGGAGATGAAGCTGTGATAAATGCAGTTTGGTAAATGCAGTTGTATGGAGTTTTGTTGGTTTGCATTTTTTTGTTGGTTTGCAATTTTGTTGCTGGTAAATGCATTTGCTGCTGCTGCTCAATGCTGGTTTGAGGAGTTTTGTTGGTTTGTAGCTGGTGCTGCTGGTCAATGCATCTGCTGTTGGTAAATGGAAGTTTGTGCAATCTTTTGATTGGTTTGAGGGGTTGATAAAAGCTTGTAGCCTTTTTTAGTAAAAAAAAAAACAAAAAACAAAAAACAAAAAAAAAGGTGGTCAGGTCTAGTCAACGAGGTTTTATAGTATTCTAGTTTAAGAGGGAATATTAAGTATAAGGTTTGGTTGAGTAAGCAAGATTTTATAGTACTTTGGTTTAAGGGGAATATTGAGTATAAGGTTTAGTATGCAAGGTTGTTTATGTATAGATTACAAGTTATGTTAGGTATGGTGTATTTTGTAAAGTTTAAAAGTAGTGACTAAATGGTGAGTTTTGTATTTGTCTATAAAAGAACAAATTGTTCTGTTTTTGTACATTTATTCATTCAATACAGAAAAATTCAGTTTTAGTTATCTTCAGCTTGAGCTACATTTTCTAGAACATTTCTTGTTTTTGCATTTTCTTTTCTATTTCGCACTAGAATCTTCGATCGGAAATATTTTTTGAATTTTTTTATTAATTTGTTGTTAAGATATAGTTTAATTAGTTGATTAATTTGTACATATTATAATTAAGTAATTAGTTTCTTGTTTTCAGTCAACGAACATCCTAATTTAAAAGTCTTTTGTTTGCTTATCTATTTGTTAATTTTCAGTCCATAAAATAAAGCAAGAAGTATTCCTTATATTGCTTATAATACAATGTCAGTCATTTTCATTGACCCATCAAAACAGGGTCACTTTTGCCGGCATCCACCGCAATGTAGTGAAATCCATTAGAGAACTTTGATAACAAAAATAAAGACACGTCTGTTTGAATACAAATGAATATGACGAAAATGTTGTTTTAAAAAAGTTTTTTATAAGGAAAATAATATAGTCACCAAAAGAAGTATATTGAATTCATGCATCGAATGACGTAACATATTATTAATCGTTGATTAATTATAAATTAATATTAATCGACTATCAGGATTTTATCACATCATTCGATGTACTCCTTTGATAACTATAACATTACTCATTTTAAAATGGTGAATCACCAAATACATCCCCTTCAAATCAACATAAAAGTGCTATCATACAGTGTATCAATCTTCGATGCCCTTTGAAAATCTTGTTAACATTCTTTATGTAAATCTACACCATCTTCTTTAAGAATTTTCAAAGTATAGACGTGGCTTGTGCTCCAAGCAGATCATTCATTACTTTACCAGTCAAAATTTGCTTCTGACTCTAGCTTTATATAATTTCTAAAGACGGATGATTTATGTGTATAAAGTACAGAAATAGCACTGGCACCTCACCAACAGAAGCAGGAAAAGTATGGCAAAAGAAGTGAAGCTCTTGGGGTTTTGGACTAGCCCATATGTGTATAGAGTAGAATGGGCACTGAAGCTAAAGGGTGTTGATTATGAGTACTTAGAAGAAGATATATTTAACAAGAGCACAAGGCTTCTGGAGCTGAACCCAATCCACAAGAAGGTTCCTGTGCTTGTTCATGACAAGAAAGTAATCCTTGAGTCGCATGTTATTCTCGAGTATATCGATGAGACTTGGGAACAAAATCCACTGCTGCCTAAAGATCCTCGTGAAAGAGCCATGGCACGTTTCTGGGCCAAATATGGAGATGAAAAGGTAAATAATTCTGTTCATCTGTTTTCCTCTGTTATACTGCATTTTTGCTCACTATTATTTTGTTGTACTTGTGCGTTTGGTGTAGCTATTGAGTGCATGGAAGCAAACGTGGTTGAAAGGAGAGGAAAAAGCGAAGGCAGTTGAAGAATCAATAGAAGCCTTGGAAAAGATCGAGGAAGAGCTCAAAGAGAAGAAGTACTTTGAAGGAGAGGGGATTGGGTATTTGGATCTTGCACTTGGGTGGATCGCTTACTGGCTACCGTTATGGAAAAAGTTGGGTCTATGCAGCTTTTGAAGGAAGAGAATTTCCAGCGATTACATCTTGGATCAGCAAGTTCTTAGCCACCCAGCGATTAAAGACAAGTTACCACCGGGGGACGAGCTGGTTGTTTTACCTGACGAGAAAGGGAAGCCAGATATAACAGTATTACCCAAAGCAAAGGGAAAATTAATTATATTTCAGTCAATGAAAAGGACTATACAAAGCTTGAAATGCAATGAACTTGTATTATTATTGAAAGAAAGGGATGTTGTATAATTATATGAATTCAAGAAAGACTATGTTGTATTAAACTTAGTGAGATCTTCCCTGCAACTTGTGATCTTACATCAATTTTAACCTTCAACAGCGCACCGTCAACTTCTATTTCACGTGAAATTTAATTTCATTAAACTACTAATAAATTGATTAGATAATAAAAGAAAAGAATATAAAATTATTCCTGATATGGTTTTGTGAGAAGTGAATGCTAACCACATGGAAACTTCAGTAGAGTGTGGAAGTCTCATGTTAGAAAAGGTCAAGAATTATATTGTTTTTGGCTTAAATTTATAGTTATCTATCAAAGAGGTCGAGTCAGACCCAGGGCCGGCCCAAAGGGTAGGCAGGTAAAGCACTGCTGGGACCCAGAGAAAAAAGCCCCAAAAAGAGGTCTAAAATATTTTAAAATTTTTTTTAAATAGATCACAGAAATATCATTGGACTAGAAAATTTTTAATTTTTTATCAAATCCAAAGGGTCCCACAAAAGCAAAAAAAGCCCAAATCATTTTTTAACTTTTTTACATAAATTATAAAAAAATCCATATTTCATATTTCCATTCACACCCATAATTAACTTAAAACTAGTTATTTAAATGTCTAAAATTTCAAAAACACCCACGATCCCTAAAATGAGTGAAAACATTGATCATCCAGCCCTCTACACCGCCATAGTGTCGTTGTCGGCATTGAAGTGATGATTCCGCGTCAATTTTCTCACCAAAATTGATCAGATTCATGATTAATCATTTTCGAAACCATTTTCAACAGCCTTGACAACCCCAATTTGGTTGATTTTGCTGATTTTCGCAATCATTTCTTTTCACCACGTGCAACAGTTTCGACACGTATTCGGCTGTCGTTGACCTTCCCTGACACCAACATCTTCGTCCCCTCAGCCCTCCCCAAAAACCTCTCACTACCTGATCCGGTAGCCCGCCGTCCACCTTTCGCCACACAAGAAAGATTAGGTAATTCGGCTATATTATCAATTGAAAAAAATTGGTTTCAAACTGAATATAAAATTTAATAGTGATTTTAATCTCAAAAGACAAGAAAATAAATTTGAAATAATTTTTTAATATATGCTTATATTGTTAAAAGAGCCCAAAAATAACTATATCTAGAGTATAAATGTTCTTGAGACGGCCTACTCATACAAAATAAATAAACTCTTGATGAGAGTTGGACAAGGAGGTTCGTCTTCTTTGGAAAACGTCTATTAAAATTACAATGTTTTCAAAACTATCAAAAAATAAGTACACAAATTCAAAGAACCCTAATCAATAGTTAGTGTTTTTGGTTTTATAAGGGTGTTAAAATAATTTATACCCTAATTTTTTTTTTTAATAATGGGAATGTCAAAAACTAATTTACGTACATACCCGATTAATCTCTCAAAACCCATAAAACTATCGATGATTAGGTGGACGATCTAGTTTATGTAAGCCAGACCGAGGCAACGCGATGACTTGGCCTAGCGTCGATTTGGGCCATTCAAAGCTAGTGACGTTGGCATTTCTTGGCATTAGTCGCAATTCACTTATTTGTTTATATTTTAAATTTTAATTTATTTAAACATGAAAATAATTAAATGTGGGACATCTTACCATGTGACTTTGTGGTGTGAGACTGTCTAATTAAACAAAGACATCTATTATGTGTTGAAAGCCACATTTTATAGTGACGGTGGTTATGAATGATAATAAATAAATTATAGTGATAAATAAATCAAAGAAAGAATTTTATAAATATATAACCACACATGTCGTATCACATTGGAGAGTCTCGAATGTCGATACGTTGGGAAACCTAATTGGTTCGTCGCATAAGACCTTTTATTTTAAAGGTGTAATATTTTCCACACGCCGCCATAAATTAATCTTAATATTCAATTAGTCAAAATTGCCGTCTGGTAACCTTTGCATATAAGTGTCTGGAATAGCACTAGGCTACTCACTAACAGAAGCAGAAAAATATAAATGGCAACACAAGTGAAGCTTGGGATTCTGGTGTAGCCTTTTCATTTCGAGTAGAATGGGCCTGAAGCTGAAAGGTGTTGATTACGACTACTTTGAAGAAGATACTTTAACAAGAGCTCCATGCTATGGACTGAATCCAGTTCATAAGAAGGTTCTGTGTTGTTCATGGATAGCAAAGTCATCTCTGAATCTTTTGTTATTCTTGAGTATGTCGATGAGACTTGGGAACAAAATCCCTTGCTGCCTAAAGATCCTTATGAAAGAGCCATGGCACGTTTCTGGGCTAAATTTGCTGAAGAGAAGGTAACTATTTCTATTTATTCATATTGTTGTTAATTTTACATCTCATTAAAATTGAAAATATAATTTTTAAGAAATGATCCGTATATAATTTTATGACCGTTCTGTTATTTTTGGTTTAGCTTATGGATGCTGCATGGGCTGTAATGTGGTCCAAAGGAGAGTTAAAAGAGACGGCTTTGAAAGAATCAATAGAAGCATTGGAAAAGATAGAGGGAGCGCTGAAAGAAAAGAAGCAATTTCAAGGAGAGAGCATTGGGTATTTGGACTTGGCATTTGGATGGATTGCTCACTGGCTACCCGTCTTGGAAGAAGTCGGGTCTGTGCAGATTCTGAACCCAGAGAAATTTCCAGCCATTACAGCTTGGATGGCCAAATTTCTCAGCCATCCAGTCATCAAAGATAACCTACCACACAGAGACAAGATGCGTGCTAACTTTGAGGAGCACAGGGAAACCATATATAAATATTATACAAAAATAGACATCCCCAAAACTATCCCAAAATTCGCGTCGGGTGTTGACAAATAAAATAATCCGAAACCGAAGGATAATAAATGTTCAAGTCAAGCTTGGAATTGAACGCTATAAAATTTCTCTTTAGAGAAAGGTGTATTGTTATGCTTAAGTCCTGAATTTGTAAGGAGAGGAATGGATTATGTACTTGAAACTTTGATGCTATATAAACGCAGTTTTAATCGTGTCTTGTATGTGGTTCGTGTCCTCCAAGGGATCTAGCATCAAAATTTTTTTTTTTTTTTTTTAATATGACCGAAGTAGACCAGTTTACACGTATCTCAACTAATTTCCTGAGATTCTGAAACTACCGAATAGGTAAAAGCTCTAATGGCTACCCTATTAGAGACTGAGGAGAGACTTAAACTCACGACATCTTGAATAATATACCTAAGAGTCTCTATCAAACCACTCAACTACCCAGAGGTTGGTTATCGAGCATCAAACTTTAACTTCAAAGTTTGCCTACCAACTTCCTGACGGGGCTTCTAGCATTTAATTTTTTTTTTAATCCATCTAATTTATTTTTTTTATCCTATAAATTTATTTTAAAAATTTCTAGTTATACCCCTCCTTAATTATGCATAATTCTCTTGCCTTTTAGTTTTTTTTTTTTTTTACTATGTCATTTATAAATTATCTCAAATCTTTCATTATATTTATATATATGTACGGTTATATTATGTAAGCTTATCTTTATCTTTATTTTATTAATTGATTGTATTGTTACGTATCTTTGAATTTATTTAATTCTACTAATATTAATTTGACATAAAATTAATGAAGTTTAATTAACTTGTCACAATCATGATTTAATTTTCTCTTTTTGATTTCCTTAGTTATACTAATAATTGACATTTCAATAAAGGATAACAGATGTGTAATCTCTTTATATAAATTTTTAGTTATCATGTGTTTCATTATAAAATCTAGAGGATATTATTTTTATAGTATNTTACTGGCTACCCGTTATGGAAAAAGTTGGGTCTATGCAGCTTTTGAAGGAAGAGAAATTTCCAGCGATTACATCTTGGATCAGCAAGTTTCTTAGCCACCCAGCGATTAAAGACAAGTTACCACCGTGGGACGAGCTGGTTGTTTACCTTGACGAGAAAAGGGAAGCCAGATATAACAGCTATTACCCAAAGCAAAGGGAAAATTAATTAATATTTTCAGTCAATGAAAAGGACTATACAAAGCTTGAAATGCAATGAACTTGTATTATTATTGAAAGAAAGGGATGTTGTATAATTATATGAATTTCAAGAAAGACTATGTTGTATTAAACTTAGATGAGATCTTCCCTGCAACTTCGTGATCTTACATCAATTTTAACCTTCAACAGCGCACCGTCAACTTCTATTTCCACGTGAAATTTTAATTTCATTAAACTACTAATAAATTGATTAAGATAAATAAAAGAAAAGAATATAAAATATATTCCTGATATGGTTTTGTGAGAAGTGAATGCTAACCACATGGAAACTTCAGTAGAGTGTGAAGTCTCATGTTAGAAAAGTTCAAGAATTTATATTGTTGTTTTGGCTTAAATTTATAGTTATCTATCAAAGAGGTCGAGCTCAGAACCAGGGCCGGCCCAAAGGGTAGGCAGGTAAGGCACCTGCCTGGGGACCCAGAGAAAAAAGCCCCAAAAAGAGGTCTAAAATTATTTTAAAATTTTTTTTAAATAGATTCACAGAAATATCATTGGACCTAGAAAATTTTATAATTTTTTATCAAATCCAAAGGGTCCCACAAAAGGCAAAAAAGCCCAAATTCATTATACTTTTTTTTACATAAATTTATAAAAAAATCCATATTTCATATTTTCCATTCACACCCATAATTTAACTAAACTAGTTATTTAAATGTCTAAAATTTCAAAACACCCATTCGATCCCTAAAATGATGAAAACATTGCATCTCCAGCCCTCTACACCGCCATAGTGTCGTTGTCGGCATTGAAGTGATGATTCCGGTCAATTTTCTCACCAAAATTGATCAGATTCATCGCTTAATCATTTTCGAAACATTTTCACAGCCTTGACAACCCCCAATTTGGTTGATTTTTGCTGATTTTCGCAACTCATTTTCATTCTTCACCACGTGCAACAGTTTCGACACGTATTCGGCTGTCGTTGACCTTCCCTGACACCAACATCTTCGTCCCCTCAGCCCCCTCCCCAAAACCTCTCACTTACCTGATCCCGGTAGCCCGCCGTCCACCTTTCGCCATCACAAGAAAGATTAGGTAATTCGGCTATATTATCAATTGAAAAAAATTTGGTTTCTAAACTTGAATATAAAAATTTAATTAGTGATTTTACATCTCAAAAGACAAGAAAAATAAATTTGAAATAATTTTTTAATATATGCTTATATTGTTAAAAGAGCCCAAAAATAACTATTATCTAGAGTTATAAATGTTCTTGAGACGGCCCTACTCATAACAAAATAAATAAACTCTTGATGATGAGTTAGGACCAAGGAGGTTCGTCTTCTTTTGGAAAACTGTCTATTAAATTACAATGTTTTCGAAACTATCAAAAAATAAGTACACAAAATTCAAAGAACCCTAATCAATAATTAGTGTTATTTGGTTTTATATAAGGGTGTTAAAATAATTTTATACCCTAATTTTTTTTTTTTAATAATCGGGAATGTCAAAACTAATTTACATGTACATACCTCGAGTAATCCTCAAAACCCTAAAACTATCGATGATTAGGCTGCCGATCTAGGTTATGTAAGCCAGACCGAGGCAACGCGATGACTTGGCCCTAGCGTCGATTTGGTCCATTCAAAGCTAGTGACGTTGGCATTGTCTTTGGCCATTAGTCGCATGCACTTATTTGTTTATTATTTTAATTTTAATAGTTTTTTAAAACATGAAAATATTAAATGTGGACATCTTACCATGTTGACTTTGTTGTGTGAGATGTCTAATTAAACAAAGACATCTATTATTGAGTTTATTGAAAGCCAATTTTATAGTGACGGGGGTAAGATGATAATAAATAAATTATAGTGATAAATAAATCAAAGAAAGAATTTTATAAATATTAACCACACATGTCGTATCACATTGGAGGTCTCGAATGTCGATACGTTTGGAAACCTAATTGGTCGTCGCATAAGACCTTTATTTATCTAAGGTGTAATATTTTCCACACGCCGCCATAAATTATCTTAATATTCAATAGTCAAAATTGCCGTCTGGCACTTTGCATAAAGTGTCTGGATATAGCACTAGGCACTACTAACAGAAGCAGCAAAATTATAAATGGCAACACAAGTTAGCTCTTGGGATTATGTGTAGCCCCTTTTCATTTCGAGTAGAATGGGCCTTGAAGCTGAAAGGTGTGGATTACGACTACTTTGAAGAAGATATCTTTAACAAGAGCTCCATGCTACTGGAACTGAATCCGTTCATAAGAAGGTTCGTTGCTGTCATGTGCAAAGTCATCTCTGATCTTTGTTATTCTTGGTATGTCGATTGAGACTTGGGAAAAAATCCCTGCTGCCTAAAGATCCTTAGAAAGAGCCATGGCACGTTTCTGGGCTAATTGCTGAAGAGAAGGTAACTATTTCTATTATTCATATTGTTGTTAATTTACATCTCATTAAAATTGAAATATATTTTTAAGAAATGATCGTATATAATTTATGACCGTTCTGTTTTTTGTTTAGCTTTTGGATGCTGCATGGGCTGTAATGTGGTCCAAAGGAGAGTTAAAAGAGACGGCTTTGAAAGAATCAATAGAAGCATTGGAAAAGATAGAGGGAGCGCTGAAAGAAAAGAAGCAATTTCAAGGAGAGAGCATTGGGTATTTAGACTTGGCATTTGGATGGATGCTCACTGGCTACCCGTCTTGGAAGAAGTCGGGTCTGTGCAGATTCTGAACCCAGAGAAATTTCAGCCATTACAGCTTGGATGGCCAAATTTCTCAGCCATCAGTCATCAAAGATACATACCACACAGAGACAAGATGCGTGTTGTACTTTGAGGAGCACAGGGAAACCATATAAAAATTATACAAAAATAGACATCCCCAAAACTATCCCAAAATTCGCGTCGGGGTGTTGACAAATAAAATAATCCGAAACCGAAGGATAATAAATGTTCAAGTCAAGCTTGGAATTGACGCTATAAAATTTCTCTTTAGAGAAAGGTGTGTGTATGTTGCTTAAGTCCTGAATTTGTAAGGAGAGGAATGGATTATGTACTTGAACTTTGATGCTATATAAACGCAGTTTTTTAAGGTCTGATGTGGTTCGTGTCCTCAAGGGATCTAGCATCAAAATTTTTTTTTTTTTTTTTAATATGAACGAAGTAGACCAAGTTTACACGTATCAACTAATTTCCTGAGATTCTGAAACTACCGAATAGGTTAAAAGCTCTAAGGCCTACCTATTAGAGACTGAGGAGAGACTTAACTCAAGACATCTTGAATAATATACCTAAGAGTCTCATCAAACCACTCAACTACCGAGGTTGTGATCGAGCATCAAACTTTAACTCAAAGTTTGCATACAACTTCCTGACGGGGCTTCTAGCATTTAATTTTTTTTAATCCTCTAATTTATTTTTTTTATCCTTAAATTATTTAAAAATTTCTAGTTAACCCTCCTTAATTATGCATAATTCTCTTGCCTTTATTTTTTTTTTTTTTTTTACTATGTCATTTATAATTATCTCAAATCTTTCATTATATTTGATATATGTACGGTTATATTATGTAAGCTATCTTTATCTTTATTTTATTAATTGATTGATTGTTACGTATCTTTGAAATTATTTATCTACTAATATTATGACATAAAATTAATGGAGTTTAATTAACTTGTCACAATCATGATTTAATTTTCTCTTTTTGATTCCTTAGTTATACTAATAATTGACATTTCAATAAAGGATAACAGATGTGTAATCCTTTTATATAAATTTTAGTTACATGTGTTTCATTATAAAATCTCGAGGATATTATTTTTATGTATCGTTAATAAGCTAATCATATATTATGTTTTTAAATGTTGAAATTCACACAGAATTCTATTTCTGACATCCATGTAATTAATTTTCTTATCTAAGCTTGTCTCCACCCTAAATGAAAAATAAAAATTGTAGAACATAGTGGCAGCAAGGCTAATATTAAATCATAGATGAAACACTTATTCTGATGTTAAGAAACATTAGTTCATTATTGAAGTCGGCCATAAAATTTGGTACAATCTCCCGCAGTCTAGTTCTTCAACCCCTCGTAGTAGGGCCTTTATTTCTTAACCGCCACGTACATATTTTATTACCACACTTAATCACTGTCCTCTTCCTCCTCCCTCTCTCTCCCTCTCCTCTGCTCTGACTCTTCGCTGTGACCTAGACCCTGGGACCGAAAATTGTCATCTCAGACATACTCTCCTTCAACCTCCAGGCATCTTCCTGGAAATAAACATGAGTTCGCGAAACATCCAATGGTATCTCTAAACACTGAGACAGTCCCGCAGCTGGCTGATCTTTGCCAGCCATTGGTCTGAATGATACCCACTCGAATCCTCGCTGCTTGCTCTCTTCACCACTGCGTAGGTCTGTGGAACAACAACACCAGCTGACCCTCACGAATTTCCTCATCGAATACCGATCTCCGTTCTCTGAGACGATTGCACCTGCCATTACCCTATGACATAGACTACGCTGTGGGCATTCAAGTTCAGTGAGGTGCCAAGATAGCAGTGAAAGCATGCAAGTTAAAATTTAGCAAATTAAATTTTAAAATAATTTGGAAACGCGGCGGTGAGATGCTAATATGAATTAAATATCTTCTTACCCTGTAAAGCACGCCTTTCTCGGCGCTAAGCTGGAGGTATCTGAGGATGGGAAGGTTGAAGGCATTGATGCTGGTGACGCGTCCACCATGGGGTATAGACGTCAGCACGTGAGGATCATTGATGTTGTGCTTCAGTGTCATTGTGCAGAAGGTTTCCTCTAACCCATTATCGGAGTATTCTTGTCTTGTTCTTGTCTTGCTCTGTGGTGATAGTACTTGAAGATCCTCCTTGAATTGACAATAATGCCCCTCGCTTTCCTCTCCTGCAATCTTTTGACATGCTGAGTGTCAATGTTGAAAGATGTGCGAGCATCCCTCGTCAAAGGCGCTCAAAATATTGTTACTTTGCTGTCCTTGCTGGCCTCTTCTGCTGGCTTCGGCTTTCGCTTTCGCTTTGGTTCGGCTCCGGCGGCTTGACCACCACTTGAATTTCTTGCTGTGGCTCCACCGAGGACGAATTTCTTCATACACATAACACCAAAAAGATAATTTACAGAATTATAGACA